AGAAGACCCAAATAACGAAAATCAGAAATGAAAAAGGAGACATTACAATTCATACCACAGAAATACAAAGGACCATTAGAGACTATTATGAACAACTATATGCCAACAAACTTGAAAACCTGGAGGAAATGGATAAGTTTTTGGACACGTACAAACTGCCAAGACTGAACCAAGAAGAAATACAAAACCTGAATAGACCAATAACAAGCAACAAGGTTGATGCAATAATTAACAGTCTCTCAACAATTTAAAGTCCAGGAGCACATGACTTCACTGCTGAATTCTACCAAATATTTAAAGAAGAATTAACACCAATCCTTTTCAAACTATTCCAAGAAATTAAAACTGAGGCCATCCTCCTAAATTCATTCTATGAAGCCAGCATCCCCCTCATACCAAAATCAGGCAAAGACACAACAAAAAAAGAAAAACAAAAAACAAACAAACTACAGGCCAATATAGACACAAAAATCCTCAACAAGATATTAGCAAACAGAATAAAACAGCACATCAAAAAGATTATACACCATGATCAAGTGGGACTCATCCCAGGGATATAAGAATGGTTCACATTCGCAAGTCAATAAATGTGATAAACCACATCAGCAAAAGCAAGGTCAAAAACCATGTGATTATCTCAATAGCCTCAGAAAAAGCATTTGGCAAAATTCATCATCCCTTCATGATAAAGACCCTCAACAAATTAGGTATAGAAGGAAAATATCTCAATACAATAAAAGTTATATGTGACAGATCCACCACCAATATCATCCTGAATGGGGAAAAGTTGAAAGCTTTTCTTTTAAGAACAAGTAGAAAACAAGGATGCCCACTTTCACCAGTTATATTCAATATATAGTATTGGAAGTATTAGCCACAGCAGTCAGGCAAGAGAAAGAAATAAAGGGCATACACATTGGAAAAGATGAAGTCAAATTGTCACTGTTCATAAGTGACATGATCCTAGATATAGAAAACCCCATAACCTCTTTCAAAAAACTCCTAGAGCTCATAAACACATTCAGTACAGTTTCAGGATACAAAATCAATACACAAAATCAGTAATGTGATTATACACCAACAATGACCAAGCAGAAAAAGAAAAAAATCCAGAAAACAAGCCCATTTACAGTAACTACCCAAAGAATAAAATACTCTGAGAGAACTAAAAAACTCTGCTGAAAGAAATTAAAGAGGATGCCAAAAGATGGAAGGACATTTCTTGTTCATGGATTGGAATAATTAACGTTGTGAAAATGTCCATACTACCCAAAGCATTGTAAAGATTCACTGGAATCCCCATCAAAAGATCAATGATATTCTTCACAGAAATAGAAAAAAAATCCTAAAATTCATATGGAACAACAAAAGACCCTGAATAGCCAAAGCAATCTTGAGAAGAAATAAATAAATAAAACCAGAGACATTATACTACCTTACTTCAAACTATGCTACAAATCTATAGTAACCAAAACAGCACAGTACTGGCATAAAAACAGACACATGGACCAATGGAACAGAATAGAGAAGCCAGAAATCCTATACACTTTTTATTCCAAAGGTATATCAAGTATCTTTCCTATTTTTACCATCTCTATTGGTTCCAACTACCATCATCTCTTCTCTTTCCTGGATTTTTACAGCAGTCTCTTAAGTGGCTTCTCTGCTTTACATTTGGCCTTTTGTAGTTTAATTTCAGCAATGCAGCCAATATGAACTGTTTAAAATGTAGGTCAGATTGCATTTTTTTTTTTTTTTTTTTTTTTTTTTTTTTGCTCAAAATCCTCCAATAACTTCCCATCTCTCTTACGGTAGCCTGTGCACCCTATGTGATCCGGTCCCTGACTTATCTCTCTAACCTTATTTTCTACTGTTTCTCTGTCTTTTCAGCCATTCTGGCCTTCTGGCTTTTCTTTAAATCTACGAAACATAATCCTGCTCTTGGGCCTTTGTACTTGCAGTTCCCTTCGCTTGGAAGGCTTTCTCCAGATTTCCTTGCTCTTAGCCTTCTTAAGGTCTTTGCCTATTTAAAATAGTATTTACCTTCACACACACTTTATTTTTCTCCATAAGTTCTATTAGCATTCACCCTACTATATGCAAGGGTACTTCAAAAAGTTTATGGAAGGTTCATATTATTTTTTAATTCTAGTTTTCCATGAACTTTTTGAAGTACCCTCATACTTTACTGCTTATTTTCTTTTCCTTCATTAAAGATGTAAGCTCATTGTTATATCTGTAACACCCAGGATAGTGCCTGGCCATAATAGGCACTCAAATATTTGTTGAACGAATGATTGATCAACAAAACAGTGATCCGTTGAAATGTTAGGCACGTGTTTAAGTATGGTATAGTAGTGTTGAAGTAATGCCCTTGTCTTTCAGTTGCTTAGATATTACAGGGATATACACTAATATTCACGTTTCATGAATATTTGAGAAATGAGCACGGATTCAAATGAGCACTGATATCAAGAAATTTTAATTCCATTTTGAAAAATAAAATGTAAAACCTAGAAAAATGACATGGTTAACTGAAGAACATAAGGAAACTAAATTATTATAACAGTAAGGGTGTTATCATATGTGTGATAGATGGGTACTGAATAATAATTTTAAGGATGCTCTTAATTAGAAGAAAAGAAAGATTTTACCAGTGTCTAACTATAACTTTATCTTCATGAATTACGTCTCTGGATTACTTAGAATGATGTACTCTAGTGTCTTAGTCTATTAGTGCTGCCATAACAAAATATCTGAGACTGGGTAGTACATAAACAACAGAAATTTATTTTTCACAGTTTTGGAGTATGAGAAGTTCAACACTGAGGCACTGGCAGGTCTGCTGTCTGGTGAGAGAGAAGGGTCTCTGCTGCTTTTATTTATATTTTTGGCGGCTGGCCAGTATGGGCATCCAAACCTCTGACCTTGGTGTTATAAAATCTGTGTTCCAACCAATTGAGCTAAATGGCCAGCCACTATCTCTGCTTCTAAAATGACACCTTGAATGCTGTACATGATGGAAGGCAGAAGGTCAGAAGGCAAAAGGAGATGAAACCCTGTGTTCTCATGTGGTGCAAGAGCGGAGGAGAGCAAATCCACTCCACTATTCCTATTTATGAAGACTCAGCCATCATGACTTAATCAGTTTCTAAAGGCCTCACCTCCTAACATTAGCATATTGGTGATTAAATTTCAACATATGAAATTTTGGGGAACACTTTTAGACCATAGCACTAGTGACTGAGCCCTCTTAGATGCTTCCTACTGAATTCTAACACAACAGAGGAAAACTTCGTAGGGAAGTGCTGTGAAGGGCTTTTCTTTTATACCTGCTGTTTCATTTTTGAGAATCTCAGATGTTATTTAAAATACTTCTTATGATTCTTAAGGTTCTTTTGTGATCACAGCACTAGTGATGGTGACTCTTCAAGGGACTGGATTTGTGTATTTTTCATCTTCGTGTTCTTACTGCCTGCCACAATACCTAGCATATAATAGGTGCTTAATAGATGTTTGTTGAATAAATGATTTTTTTCCAATTAAGCAGTCTCTTCATGGCTATCTTATTAGGAAAAATTTTTGTTTGGAAGGTAAATCCTCAAAGATATAGATAAACTTATGTGATAGTTGGGGAGTTGGGAGAAGGGGGAAAGGAAAAAGAAAACTACAATGACAGACTATTTCATTAGAAAAGACAAATGCACACATACATTGAATGATACAACTTCATGTTTTTAATTGGATAGTAACTTCGCTGGGGATTTTTCCTAGTGCCATGATTTGTTCTCAACTCTTGTTGAATTAAGAAAGTATTTTAGCTTCAATATTATGATAAACTAGATGTATAAATGTCAGTGCTAATAGCATAGTATTTTATTCTTCCACAAATTGATGCCTGTGGTATCTGGACATTTTTCGGGCTGTTCTTGTAAATAAGGTCTCAGTAATGTTTATGGAACAGCAACTTGTGGCCAGAAGAGAAAAAAACTCCATATTTCCCAAGGTAAGCAATATAAATGGGGCTCAGGAATCCCTCACTAGATCAAAAATCTCCTAGAGAAAGATCTCTTGAAACTACAAACTAAAGACCTTCAATATAATTTTAAATAAAGCCTTTTATGTAGTATGAGAGCATTTTTTAGTTGATAATCAATTGCCACTATTATGAAGGCTTACTAGATTTGCAAATTTACAAGCTTTTACAAGTCAGTTGGGTCCCTTCCACAGGAAATCAGTTTAAGGTTTTTTTTTTTTCCTATATTGACTCAAAGAGCCTAGTTGTCCTTAAATCCTATGAATATATTTGCCTTATAATTTGACGGCATTGAGTCAACATCCTTATAGGGTCTGTAGTGTTATAAAAAGAGAAACTGTTCAATAAAGAATCACATTTGAAAAAATAGACTGTGCTGGATAAAACCAGTATTGGATATGAGTTCTGTGCTTTGCTTTAAAGCACCTACAACTATTCAAGGAAATATATCCTTTCCCATTACTCTCAAAATGGATTCTTTAGATTTGGAAAGCAGCTGAACTATATCTTTGTGAAATTAAATCATGACTGTAAATAAATTAATGTATATGTGCAACGTAATAGTGATCTCTTTTAGCAGAAAATTATGTATTTGTGTTGACATTAAAGAGATTTAATTTATAGAGATTATAGAACTATTCTAATTATAAAAGTAATTAAACTGTTTCAAAGCAAATATGCTTGGGTAAGTATTCCTCACCTTCAATTTATCACCATGTTTAAATATGCTATACTGAGATATTTTTGAGCATTTTTTGTGTATGATCCTGTGTAGACAATAATAGTGATAGCTCATTTTTTTTTTAACACTTACGTGCCAGCCATTGTGCACTATACATGGATTAATCCTCTAAGAACTCTATATAAGATAGGTGTGTTTATTATTCCCAGTTACAGATAAGGAAACTGAGCCATGAAGAGATAAAATAAATTGTCCAAGATTACACAGCTAGTGTCTAAGCTGGGACATAACATTGAAAAGTAAGTCAAATTTAAATATTAAAAAATGCTTTGATTGACTCTAACATTGAATTGTATTCTCTCTTTAACACCTTTCTAGTTGATTTGGAGCATATGCGAACAGTAAAACCTGAAAAACACTTACGGTTTTGCCAGGAAAATGGCTTTAGTAGCCACTTTGTCTCAGCCAAGACAGGAGATTCTGTAAGTAAAATAATTTATTCTGTGAACTATAAGTGTTGTTTTACTTTCCTTTACGAACTTTCATAGGAGGTATACTTCCATTAGTTAACTTTTTGAGCAAACTAATTCCTGTTGAGGACATAAAATATCTTAGACATAATATGTTTATTCTGGTTATATTACTTTTTATAGTTCATTTAACATAACTTTATGGTTATTTTAAGGAACTTAAAAATGAAGAGAATTAAAAAGAATATACATCTCCCATAATCCCAGGATCCAGGGATGATCATTTTTACTTCATATGATTCCTTCTAGTTTTCTTTTTCTGATGTTCACAAATACTAGTGCTGCTGCTTCTTGCAGAGTGTATTTTTTGGGTGCATACTCTGTAACAGGCACTGTACAACTCTGATTATATCCATTTTATAGATGAGTCTTAGGTTATGTAATGGGGTCCAGGTTACACAGCTAATAAATGGTGGACATAGGATTTGTGAATCCAAGTAGTGACACTCCAGGGCTCACCATCTTAACCACAATAAATATTTATTTTTAAAAATTAAAATAATATAGAAATAATTTTGTGTTTTAGTTTTTTACTTAATATTTTTATTTGTAGGAAATTTTCCCATGTTATTTAGTATTACTATAGATTTAATAATTCATTAAATAAATGTTCAAAAATTTATTCAACCATTTCCCTATTTTGGACATGTAGGTTCTTTCTAAATTTTAGATGTATTGTTCTAATGTAAAATTTTGTTCATAAGCTTTTGATATTTTGATTATTTATTTTAGATAGATTCCTTGAAAGGGGACTGAAACATATTGCAAAATTACCACCCTAAAGGCTAAATTAATTTTACTATCACCAGCATTGTATGATTGCCATACTGCTGTATTCATTTTTAAATTCAGGATTTATTTATTTATTTTTAAATCTTTGTTAAATTAATAGCCAAAAAAAGAACTTTACTATTTAAATTTGAATTTCTTTGATTATAATTGAATTTGAAATTTAAGGAACTTTATTTGCTATTCATTTTCTGCTTAGTTCCTTTTGATAATTTTTTATTGCTTTTAAAAAATTTCTATGACCATTTTTATGTCAGGGATAACAGCCATTTGTCATAGTGTTTGCAAATATTTCCCTCTGCTCACTTTTTTGACTGTTTTCTTGACATTTTTTTTAACCAAAAGAAGTTTGAAATTTTTCTGTGGTTTAATCTTTTAAGGTTTTTCTTTTATGATATCCTCCACAGTTTTTATGCCTAGGATAAATATTCAGTTATCTAAAGGGTGCTTAATCTTTTTTGTGGTGAGACTCATTTAAAAATCAGCCTCTTGGAACCCTTTTCCCCAGGATAATGTGAACATGGACACATACCCACACATTCTATTTTTAAAAATACAGTATCAGTACTTCTTGATAAACTCATTGATTGCTTGGGCTACCTCACTTGTCTTCCCAGAAGTTTTTGCCACTTGAGAATGTTTTTAATATCCAGTATTTTACTGTGTGTTTAACCACTTAATGTTTTTTGTGTACTTTTGTTTAACCACAGTTAAAAACCTCATTGTTTTCTTTTTAAATGCTACTTAAAAATGGTTTGTTCTTGTGGAATCACAAGACTTACTGCAGGTTACTTCCCCTCATTGCCTGAGGAGTTGAGGTCTAGGCTTTCTCAATACTACCTTTGTTATAATTCTTAGTGATTTCAGTATCCTTGTTTATTCTCCACTCCTCCTCAGCCTCTTCCTCCTGTGCATGTCACAGATCTTGTCATTGCAGGTCACTGCAACCCTTCTGTCTCAATACCAGACATCCTTATCACTGACCACCAACCATCCTCTGTCTTCCCAGCTCATACCCCTGAGTTAACCAATCATTCTTCAACCCTAGCAGGACCTGCCATACATTGATCCTAACACCTTTTCAAAATCCCTGACCTTCTCTTATGTCCTCATTTTCCTCTCTTCTTAACTTTAATCTCAGGACAAATTAAAATCATTGCCATTTATATGCCCTCGATTCCCTTTCCCCTCTTTCACTTCGCAAGACTCACTTGGCTAAACCTTAATTCTAGTTTAAACCAAGCTTGAAATTTTCTTTGGCTACATGAAAAAACACAGAGGCATGCTGGAAGTTTCACTTTAAGTTCATAATCACTAACCTCAAGAGGACCCTTAATGCTGTTCAGTAATTATACTATATGTCCCTAGTCTGTCATCTCTCCATCTATCATCTCTCCCCTCCATTATCTCTACATAAATGATTGTTTCATAATTTCTCTTCTTTCTTCAGATGTTCAAAACATCCTCCCCTGTTCACTTAGCTGATATCCTTGTTTCCTATTTTGTAAGAAATTTGAAACAAACAGAAGACAACCCACAAGCCTCCTGCCCCATATCTATCCCTGTATTTTCTATCTTTTCTGTGGTTACTATGTGATCTATGCCCCTAGCTAGGTGAGCTTCTCCATCATGCAGTTACCACATTTCTCTTTGCATAATAATTCAAGGATGTTGCCTTAGCAATTCCCTCTCTTTCCTGCATCATCAATTTTTTTTTCTGTCTACTGGATAATTCTATCACCATACAAAATATTATGACTTCTCTTATATTAAAAACAAGAAAAAAATTCTTGATCCCATATTTTTATCTAACTATGGCCTTACTTCTTTCCTCCACTTTCCAGTGGAATGTCTTGAAAGAGTTGTCTCCAGTTCCTCTCCTCCTATTTTTTTCTTGAAGAGTTACAATAGACTTTTGTCCCCAATATTTTACCCAAACTGCTGTTATCAAAGTTACCAATTACCTCCTCTTTGCTGAATCCAATAGTCAGTTCTTAGTCATCTTCTTACTTAATTTAGTGGCAACATATAAAATATTTGATCACTCTCTTCTCTTTGAAATATTTTCTTTACTTAGCTTCTAAGATACTACACCAACTGGTTTTCTTCTTACCTCACTAACTCTCAGTCTACTTTGCTAATTTCTTCTCATCTCTCTAGCCTCTGAATATTGGAGTGCTCAAGGGCTCAGTCCTTGAATATCCCTTTTTCTAAATTTATTCTCTTAGGGACTTGATTTAGTTTCATGGCTTTGCTAAGAACTCTTACCTGAACTCCAGGCTCATATATCCAACTGCCTGCTTAGCATCTCCACTTAGATGTCAATAGGCTATCCAATTTAACACATCCAGAACTGACCTATTAATATTCCCTCCTCAAATCTCGCACTATATTCCACACTTCAATAAATGACAGATTTATTCCATCAGTTGCTCAGGCTAAGAAAATTTTGGCGTCATCTTTGACTCCTCTCTTTCTCTCACAACCCACATCTGTCTGTCACTAAGTCCTGTTGGCTCTACTTTCAAAACATATCCAGAACCTGGTGATTGTGTCTTACCATCTCCACTCCTACCACTTTGGTTCAGCCTCCATAATCTCTTGCATTTGTCTCCTTGCTGATTTCTCTTTTTGTATTTTTTTCTTTTTTTTGTCGTTTTTTTGTGACTGGTAAGGGGATGCAACCCTTGGTTTGGTGTCGCCCGCACCGCGCTCAGCCAGTGAGCGCACTAGCCATCTTATATAGGATCCCAACCCGCGGCGGAAGCGCCGCTGCGCTCCCAAGCACTGCACTCTCCCGAGTGTGCCACTGGCCGGCCCTCTCTTTTTGTATTTTTGATCTTCTATAGTGAATGCTCAATACAACAACCACCTCAGTCTGTTTAAAATAAAAGTCACATCAGGCTACCCTCCTATCATAGCTTCCATTTCACTCAAAGTAAACACTGATGTTTTTCCAGTAGCTACCAGATCCCACATGATTTGTATAACCTTCATCTCTTTGCTCATCTTCTTTTAAAATCCTTCTCCTTCTCTCCATTCCACCACACTGGCTTTCCTGTTGTTCTTGGAACATTGACTATCAGTGAACTAAAATATAGTATGCTTTTTGGTTACAAATGCATAAGCCTTTCAAGGATATGTATCTCTTTTTTCTATTATAAATCAAAATTAAATTAGTAAAGTTGTGATAAATATTCAGTTAGTAATTATGAGTAGGGATAAGAAGTTGGTAGGATGCTTATAAAGCAAAGATAAACTATACTACAGTAAATGTCAGGATTGAAGCTCTTAGAAATCATAGTGGACCCGACATGAGCTATGTGTGAAAGCCTGTTGATAGAAAAGTATTTGTAGATTTTTGTTTAACTATAATGGACTATATTGCTTCTTTACTCTGAACTGATAAGATACAGTAAAGAGTATCAAACTGTTTTACTCGAGAGATAGAGTTTGTTGAAAAGTTGATAAGAGAGCCACCAGATTTTTAGAAGTTTGGAAAGTAAGACCTTTTAAGATAGACTAAAGCCAGGCCAAAAGACCAACATAGAATTGGCAGTAAAAAAAAAACAAGGTAGTATAGATTTTTTTTCTTTGGAATAGTAGCTATAATTGTCATGTTAAATCTTTAAAAATGTATGTTTTTAGAGATAAATGTAAATTTAGACTAATTCAGTGAATTGCATGAATTTTCAAATTATAGTTTAATCATTAAAAAAAATTATAACATTTATAATGTTGCTATATTTGACAAATAAAGTTATTTTTGGAATCATCTGCTACATTGTATTTTTTTCAATTCTTACTGTTTATCATTTTTTAGAAGGTTCAATTTATTTGAAGGTAACTTAAGCATGCCTGTTTTAAATCATTTAAACTTATTTTTGTTATGTAGGTCTTCCTGTGTTTTCAGAAAGTTGCTGCTGAAATCCTTGGAATCAAATTAAACAAAGCAGAAATAGAACAGTCACAGGTGATTATCTTGAACTTTGTATTTAAAAAACTAATGGGTTTCTTAAAAGACATTCATTTTCACTCATGAATCCTTTCCCGTTTATGCATTCTTTGTACATATACCTGAAGCCTTGTAAATAGATTGTGTGTATGAATCAGTGTTTATTGCAAAAGATGAACAATGTTAACTTTTTGCCAAATTATGATAACCTTGAAACCTCATTTTGTCCCTTTTGTTGGGAAAAAAAAAAAGGATTAATAAAAGACATGTCAATGGTTAATTAATGGGTTAAGGAGCTGACCATATTGTTTCATACACCTTTATTTAAGTTCTCTCAGGGCTATTCCGTTTATCTTTAAAGCATCTTCTATTGTAATGATATTGGTTCTTGATATTATTTTATTAATTTAGTAGTTTTACTAATTATTGAGGATTTCTGAGTTATTTCACTATTCCGAGACAATTCTCTTAGACTAGGAAATAAATGTGAATACCAGCAGTCAAGAACTTAAAAATACCACTATAATTGCATGCTAATTCACATTTAGAAGTGATTTGGTTAGAATTAACACACTAATTACATTTTTCCTCAATTTCCTCCACACCACCCATACCCCATTCAGCTAAAAACATGTAATTATCTATTCTCATCCTTACATTTTTAAAAAAATTATTTTAGAATTATGTGACTATTCTCATGGTCACTCTTAGTGTATGTATGTGTTTTAAAGCAGTTAGAGCAGATATCAATTGAAAATTGTATACCAATGTGGCTGTTTCTATGACTTGATCAAAATATTTTAACTCTGGAAATTTGCTACTTTTATTTATTTATTTATAATATTTATTTCTTTATTGTAACATAGTTGATTGTAAATATCTGTGGGGTACAGAGTTGAGTATCACTACCTGTGTGTAATTTGTGATGCTCCAATCAGGATAATTAGTATATTCAACATTGTACAATGTAATCGTTTTTCATAGCCCATTACCAATTCCTCCCTTATCCCCATCTCCCTCCCACTTTCCCACCTCTGGTAACCTCAGTTCTGTTCTCTCCTTTTGAAAGTTCAGTGTATTATTGTGATTGTTATATCTTTCTTTCTTTCTTTTTTTAAATTCATTTATTTATTTTTTAGCTCCCACTTATGAGTAAGGACATGTGGTATGTCTCTTTCTGTAACTGGTTTATTTCATGTAACATAATTTTCTCTAAGTTCATTCCATTCTTTTTTATGGTAGAGTAGTATTCCATTGTGTAAATATACCACATTTTCCTTATCTAGTCATCCATTGATGGACATTTAGGCTGGTTCCACATCTTGGCTATTATAAATAGAGCTACAATAAACATGGGAGTGGAGGTATCCCTTCGACATGGTGGTTTCCATGCCTCTGGATATATACCCAGCAGTGAAATTGCTGAATCATGTGGTAGTTCTATGTGTACTTTTTTGAGGAACTTCCATGAATTTTTCATAATGGCTGCATCAGTTACAGTTCCACTAGCAGTGAAGATGGGTTCCCCTTTCTCTGCATCCTCATCAACATTTATTGTTCTGTGTCTTTTTTATATTAGCCAGTCTAACTGGGATAAGATGATATCTCAATGTGGTTTTGATTTGCATTTCCTTGATGCCGAGGGATGTAGAGCATTTTTTCATGTGTATGTTGGCCACTTATATGTCTTCCTTTGAGAAATGCCTAGTTTTCTTTCTCTGCTAGTTTGTTGTTGGAGTATAAAAGCACTGTTAATTTTTGCATGTTGATTTTGTGTCCTGCAACTTTACTGAAATCATTTATCAACTCTAAGAGTTTTTTGGTAGAGTCTTAAGGCTTTTGATATATAAGCTCATGTCTTCTGCAGAGAGACAATTTTACTTCATCTTTTCCAATCTGATACTCTTTATTTCTTTCTCTTGCCTGATTGCTCTGGCTAGTACTTCCAATACTATGTTAAATACGAGTGGTGAGAGTGGGCATCCTTGTTTTCTTCCCATTGCTATGGGAAAAACTTTCAGATTTTCCCCATTCAGTATGATATTGACAGTGGGTTTGTTGAAGAAGCTTTATCAATATTCTTAGTTCTCTTGTCACAGAGTAACAAAGTTACTATTTGGACTTTAGAGATGAGCTTCACCTCCAGGCATATTTTAACTGATGAAATATTGAATGTGTTAACTACACAGCACTCTACCCTCCTAGTGTACCACACCTTGTTTATTATGCTTTGAGATTTAATTCTGTCTTCAGTTTGTTTGTGGAGTTTAATTTATTCCATTGAAGGTGAATTCAAACTACTGGAGCGCTCCTCTATTATGTTTGTCGGAATTCTTTGTGTATAGCTGGAAGCCTTGTTATCCTTTCCTGAACCTGACGAATTTGGTGCCTTTGCCAATTAAATGATTGAGTTCACAATTGATATTTTTCAGTGGAATCATTTTTGAAAGTTCATTGAGAATACAAGGAATTTCAGATAGTATACATATATTGCATGTTTTTTGTGTTTTTCTTATGACACTTAAAATATTCTTCAGGGGATTTGAAGTAGTGTTTGAATGTACTTTGTATTGTTTTATAGAGAAGGAGTTAAATGGCAGGCTCACTGTTACATGGAAATTGACATAATTAGTTTGTTACATAAATATTTATGATGAGGTTTTAGTCTTATTTCCATTTACTGATTATTTAAAGGATTCTGCTATTTTAGTTCCACCCTACATTGCTCCTGTTTGGGAGTCTTGTAAAATGAGTTATCATCATAGTTTGCAAGCTTTGCAAGAAAGAAAAGGAGAAGAGAGAAAAGAACGTAAATGTAGTATGTTAATCAAGCAAACATATTTTGAGGGTCTACTTTATGCCAGAGATCACACTAGAATCTGGGGATATAGAGATAAGATAAAGTTCCTTTTCTCAAGGAGCTTCTAGAATAAATGGATCAGGCATGCTTTTCAACAATTAGGTACACTATAGATACATTTTTCACAATTTCCAATTTGCTTAATAGTTTCATTTGCATCATTAATGCAGTCTTCCCTTTCTTCTCCCAGCTGTTTGCCTCTAAGGTAGTGTAAAAATTGGGACTGTTGCTAACAAGCATTCTACTTTCCCAGGTTATTCAGATTTTTTTTGTTTGTTTGCTTGTTTGTAAAGTAGTCAAACGCTTAGGGGAAAAATAAATTTGCAACTGCTGTTCTCTAGGAAGTCCAGCATTCAGCTCTTTAATAATGCATTACATAATTTGTGAAGAAAATACATAGTCCTGTATCTTGTCTCTTTCAGTCTGAATTGCAAGATTTTGCCATATATACTTGGTGTTAAGAGTTCTTAATACATTTTTAAGCCTTGATATTTTTACTTGGCAGTTAATAAAATGTTTGATTTAAACTGGGTATGCATTTGTTTCTTAGTACCCCAAATTTCTGTCATATCTGAGATATTCACTAAACTTGCTAAAAATATATATTCCTTATTTTCCCCTCAGATTATTTTTATACTATTTATGAGTGTCTAACATAGGGCCTGGCACATAGTAGGCACACTTAAGATTTTAGTTCAGTCTTAGTTAGCATGTAATTGTACAACACAAGAGCCCATTTTACCCCTGATGCTAAGGGCCCTCCCTGCTGTTCAGTTTTATCTCAATATTGACCTTCCTTTAGGAGCCCTCAAGGAATTTCAGTTCTTCTTACCATGCAAATCTTTTAAAATTGGTTATGCATATTCATGACATGAAAAGCAGATGGTCACCACTCCTGCCCAAGATGTGACAACCAGATCCATACTGGCAGCATTCCCATTAACACAAATTGCAATTGTACCCCGTGCCCCCACCCACTTATCCCCGACCTCCCTCACCACCCCCCTTTCCCCCACTCCACTTTGTATCTCTAGGTGTGCTCTGTCCCTCTGCAACTCCAACACACCACTGTGGTCTTTCTTTCCGTCCTTCTTTCTCTCTTAGATCCCACTTACGAGTGAGTACATGCAGTATTTATCCCTCTGTGCTTTGATTTTTTCACTCAACATAAATTTCTCCAAGTTCATCCATATATTTACAAATGGGAGAATTTCATTCTTTTTTATGGCACAGTAGTATTCCATGGTGTATATATACCACATTTTCCTTATCCAGTCATCCATCAATGGACATTTAGGTTGGTTCCATATCTTGGCTATTGTAAACAGAACTGTGATGAACATGGGTGTGTAGGTATCCCTTCAACATGATAATTTCCATTCATTTGGGTATATACCCCAAAGTGAGATTGCTGGATTGTATGGAAGATCTATCTGTAGTTGTTTAAGAAAACTCCATACTGTTTTCCATAATGGTTGTACTAACTTACAGTCCCACTAACAGTGAAGGAGCATTCCCTTCTCTCCACACCCATGCCAGCATTTGTTATTCTCCATCTTTATGATTATAGCCAGTCTAACTGGGGTGAGGTGATATCTCAATGTAGTTTTAACTTCCATTTCCCTGATGACTATTGATGTTGAGCATTTTTTCATGTACCTGTTGGCCATTTGTATGTCTTCCTTTGAAAAATGTTTATTCAGCTCCTTTTCCCATTTTTAAATTGGGTTATTTGTTCTTTTACTGTATAATTGCTTGTGTTCCTTATATATTCTGGATATTAATCCCTTGTCAGATGCATAGTTACCAAAAATTTTCTCGCACTATGTAAGTTGTCCTTACACTCTGTTGATTGTTTCCTTGGCTGTGCAGAAGCTTTTGAGTTTGATATAGTCACATTTGTTTATTTTTTCTTTTGTTGCCTGTGCTTTAGGGCTCATATTCATAAAGTCAGTGCCCAGATCTAGTTCCTGAAGTGTTTCACCTATATTTTCCCTTAGTAATTTTACAGTTTCAGGTCTTATACTTAAGTCTTTAATCATTTTGAGTTTATTTTAGTATATGGTGAGAGATGCATGTCTAGTTTCATTCTTCTGCATATGGATATTCAGTTTTCCTAGCACAACTTATTGAAGAGGCAGTCTCTTCCACAAGTTGT